ACACGGGGAAGAAGTGACCCCACACTCCCAAGAGAAGAGCACATGCCTCCAGGAAGTGGAAGTGATGGCCAGTAATGGTAAGAGTGGTGATGGCCACAACTGAGTCCTAGTCAAACCCCTACCTACAAGTACAGATTGACTAAAGACACACAGGACAGGGAACATGGTGAAGGGCATCACAGTGGAACCACTAAGCCCCGCCGGGGGGACGTTGTACAGGACTAAGTCCAGCTTCTTTTAAAAGTAAACAGCATTGAGGATTTGAGTTGTTTATATATTCTGGGTATTAATCAGCCATAAGGAAGTATGAAATAATGGCATTTGCTGGTAAATAATAAAAATGGAGAAAATCATGCTAAGTGAAATAAGCCAGACCAGGAACATCAAGAGCCAGATGTCCTCTCATATATGGAAGCTAGAGCAAAAAAAGGGAAAGCAGGTGGTAGGGAAGGAGGATTGATACCACAAAGATGTGAGACCAGTGGAGCAAGAAAGGAGAACAAGGAGGAGGGAGGGAGGCAGGGAAGGGGTAGAGATGTGGAATGAAGTAAACAATGACTTGTTACATACATATAGAAATGCACCAAAAAGAATTCCACCTCAAGGTAAATGTAGGAAATACAGATTTAAAAAGGAAAGCAAGGTCAACAGAGAAAGGAGAGAGAAAGAGGGAAGGAAAGAGGGAGTGGTCAAATCCCTTGCATGTGTAATTTTGTCAAGAGAAACTCAAATACGATGTATAATCACAATGTTCCCCCAAAAAAAGAAAAAGAATCAGCTGCCGCCGCTGCCGCCGCCCTGTGTTGTTACCAGCCACAGTGAGGACAGGCTGGGAAGGGAGCCCGCGGCTTCCAGGGGCAATGTCGACTGTCACCTCCCCGGTGAGGACCTGTCTTGGACAATTACTTAGGAGCTACGTGAAAGTGACATTCATTGTGCTGTGAGCTCACTGGACATTGGACAGAGGTGGACATTGGATGATACCAGGGGAATATTTTTCTCTGGGTATGATAATGGTACTGTGCAGATCCTTTTGAAAATAAAAGCCCTGATTCTTAGGGTCGTGCGGTGAGATTGCACACAGTGTGATTCCTGATGCTTGCGTTCAGGTGGCGCAGGCCCTGAGGCTGGGAGGAAGGGTGGATGATATTTGCTGTGCGGTGAGATTGCACACAGTGTGATTCCTGATGCTTGCGTTCAGGTGGCGCAGGCCCTGAGGCTGGGGAGGAAGGCTGAATGATATTTGCTGTGTGTTGATGACTGTGGAGCTGAGGGGCGTATCTGAGGCTTGCTGCAGTGTGGCCTCCACATTTGAGCAATTTTAAAATCATCCTAATAAGAAGGACCATGCCTCAAGGCTTCACCTTCTCCATCATTTTCCTTACAAAATCAGATTTCTCTTCGACCAGCCAACCCCTCTTCACTGCAGGAAGTCATCTAACATTGTCCTGGACACAGACTCCCTCCCGCTGCATTTCTCTGTGGTGTGGCCACAGTTACACGCACCGGTGCTTGGGTGACCTGCCTCAGTGCGCTGGCCTCTGGCCGTGTCCTCCCACCCCAGCTCTGGTTGTCTCTGACCTCTTAGACACAACATTCCCCTTTACCTGGCCAGGAATCCCCCTGTGCTGGAGGCTCCGGGTTTTAAATAGGAATTAACAAAGTGTACTGGGGACATGGGATGGCAGCATTTTTTCTTGTTGCCTGAGATCATCATACACACAAGTGCAGCTACAAACAGCAGTCCTTCCACTTCCCAGAGGCCTGACAGACACGGCAACCAGGGGAGCCAGGGATGGGATCTGGGCCAAGTCTTCATATTCTTGGAACCCTGTGGAATTAAAAAGAATGTGAAGTTGGTTGAGGTATTTGGAAGCCACATATCAGAATGCACTTTCTAACTTTGCTTGAAGACCAGCTGACAAGCATCACAGAGCTTGGAACACAGCACACACCTAAGCCTTGGGGCTTGTTATATGTGAACACTTCACAAATTCTAATGCTGACCAGCAAAGAGACCTCAAGGAAAAATGGAAGGAGACTGTAGGTCAAAAGAAAACGGAGCGAACAAGTTGGACAAGAACCAGCCAGAGCTGGTGGACAACAGCCACCAGGCAGGCAGCCAGCTTGAACCTGACCTTTCTTGACGGAAACAGGAAGGAAATGAGTGTCTCAGTGCACTACACACTTCCAGAACTGCACAGCCACATGGACTGGCCAGGCTTCCTGTCCCCCAAGGAGTGCAGATGCATGGACACAAAGGTGGGCAGAATGAAACCCATGAACTGTCTATGTTCACCCACAGGCTACCTGGAGGACTCCATCTACTCTACAGAGATGACGGCAGAGGCAAAGTGTACACCAGATCACACAGTGGGACAGGACAGGAGAATGTGCTGGACCAGCGGTCAGCAGATACATGGAGAAGCACTGGACACCACCCAAGAAGACTGTGGAGGCACCACACACATGCACCCACACAGTCTCTGGTAAGGTAAAGTTCCAGTTCAGAAGTAGTGAAGGTGGACACGTAGACTGCACAAGCACACCAGCAGAAACCCACAGGTGTGCAGGCACATGCGTGGGATCACAGCCAGCGGCCAGGGAGGGAAGGTGTGGTGGGGTCGGAGTGAGGGCTTTTCTCATTGACCACTTGTGCTTGCCTCTGTTCCTTCAAACAGAAACTGTTTTAAAATTTAAAAGGCAATCAACACCCATAAATCAGAGGCATTTCTGTACATCAGTGACAAATCCTCTGAGAGGGAAATGAGGAACACCACCCCATTTACAATAGCCTCAAAAAAAAAAATAAAATACTTGGGAATCAACTTAATGAAAAAGGTGAAAAACCTCTACAATGAAAACTACAGAACCCTAAAGAGAGAAATCAAAGAAGATCTTAGAAGATGGAAAGATTTACCTTGCTCATGGATAGGCAGAGTTAATATTAACAAAGTGACCACACTACCAAAAGCACTGTACAGATTTAATGCAGTTCACTTCAAAATCCCAATGGCATTCCTCATAGAAATAGAAAAAGCAGTCATGAAATTTATCTGGAAAAATAAGAGACCCAGAATAGCTAAAGCAATCCTTAGCAGGAAGAGTGAAGCAGGTGGCATCACTATACCAGACCTTAAACTATACTACAGAGCAATAGTAACAAAAACAGCATGGTATTGGCACCAAAACAGACTGGTAGACCAAGGGTACAGAATAGAGGACACAGAGACTAACCCACAAAATTACAATTATCTTAGATTAGACAAAGGCGCCAAAAACATACATTGGAAAAAAACACAGCCTCTTCAACAAATGGTGCTGGGAAAACTGGAAATCCATATGCAACAAAATGAAATTAAACCCCTATCTCTCACATGCACAAAACTCAACTCAAAGTGGATCAAGGACCTAGGAATAAAACCAGAGACTCTGCGTCTAATAGAAGAAAAAGTAGGCCCTAATCTTCATCATGTTGGATTAAGCCCCAACTTCCTTAATAAGACCCTTATAGCGTAAGAATTAAAACCAATAATCAATAAATGGGATGGACTCAAACTAAAAAGTTTCTTCTCACAAAAGAAACCGTCTGTGAGGTGAATAGAGAATCTACATCTTGGGAGCAAATTTCTACCCCTTATACATCAGATAGAGCACTAATCTCTAGAGTATATAAAGAACTCAAAAAGCTAAACACAAAAAAACAAATAACCCAAACAATAAATGGGCCAAGGACGTGAACTGATAATTCTCAGAAGAGGATATTAAATCGATCAACAAATATATGAAAAAATGTTCATGATCTCTAGCAATTAGAGAAATGCAAATCAAAACTAACTCTAAGATACCATCTCACTCCAGTCAGAATGGCAGCTATTGTGAATACAAACAACAATAAGTGTTGGCGAGGATGTGGGGGGAAGGGGCACTCGTACGTTGCTGGTAGGACTGCAAATTGGTGCAGCCAATATGGAAAGCAGTATGGAGATTCCTTGGAAAACATGGAATGGAATCACTATTTGACCCCACTATCCCTCTCTTCGGTCTATAAACAAAGGACTTAAAAACAGCATACTACAGGGACACAGCCACCCACAAAATTTCAATTATCTTATATTACATATAATGTTTACAGCAGCACCATTCAATAGCTAAACTGTGGAACCAACATAGATGCCCTTCAGTAGAAGAATGTATTAAAAATGTGGCATATATACACAATGGAATATGACTCAGCAGTAAAAGAGATGGCATTTGCAGGTAATGGATGCAGTTGGAGAAGATGATGTAAGTGAAGTTAGCCAATCCCCAAAAAACAAACGGCAAACGTTTTCTCTGACAGAAGGAGGTTGACTCATACTGGGGTAGGGTCGGGGAGGAATAGACCAACTCTAGATAGGGCAGAGGGGTGGGAGGGGAGAGAGGGGAAGGGAGGGGCAGGGGGTAAGCAATGACGATGGAAAATGATGGACATCATTATCCAAAGTACATGTATGACGACATGAAATGGTGTGAATACACTGTATACACAGAGATATGAAAAATTGTGTTCTACATGTGTAATAAGAATTGTGATGCATTCACTGCCATGTATTTTTTTAAAAAGCAATTAAAACAATAAAAATAAATTTAAAAAATAAAATTTGAAGGCAAAAAAATATATAAACTTGTTTGCAAAAAGAACAAGAGAAGGGAACTTAGAGGAAAACTAGTCTAACTTCTGAACCTGTCTAGAAGTTGACAAGGCCCTGCCTGTGCAGGAACCGTCCCAGTCAGGGCAGAGCGGGCTGCCGGCCTCCCAGGGCAGGGTTCCCACCTCACTGCCCGCACACCATGGCCAGGATGGAGCAGGAGGGGAGGGCTGTGGGTCAGGAGGTCACATTAGCCCCAGCCCAGGGCAGCAGCTCTTACAAGGGGCCCTGGACACGAGGTCCCTAGGAGTTGTCTCTGCTGCATCCCTCAAGGGAGTCCCTGATGATTCAGTCTTCCTGCCGCCCCACTGGGAGGAGATGGTGATGACACACAGATTGGCCACAGCCCTGCAGCTTGGGGGCCCAGGGAGTTGGAGTCCAGGCACTGCAGAGGCCCAGAGCCTCACTAATTGGCCACTGGAGGCCCAAGTACCAGCCCTGCCAGGTACACAGTGACCCCAAGTGAAGGTGCCTTAACACGCTGCCCAGCTGGCAGGACAGGAGAGGAGGCTGACGTGGGGCCCAGAGCCTCACTGGACCTACTACTGCCCGCCACCTCACTCACTGCTCAGGAGGTCACAGCTGAGCCGCAGAGGACAAGGGGCTGGGCATCCGCCTCCCCGTCTCCAGCACAGACCTGGCTCAGGAGCACAGGGACCCTGGAAGCACAGCTGCTGTCCTAACCCTCACCTGGACAGGCAAGGTCAACACACCACCTGCTCAGGCCTGCCAGGACCAGAAGCTGACCATGAGTGAGCAGGCAGCAAGGCTGTGTATGCAGTAAGCACTCAGGCCTTGCCCCAGCGGGGGGGCAGAGACCACTCCCCTGCCCACACCCTGCCCTGCACCCTGGTGGCTGGGCAGGGCCTGTGAGCCTTGGCCTGAGCACCCGCTGGCTGCCCCTTGCTAAGCACAGGCTCCGAGTCTGCAGGCTGGGGCTGCGGCTCCTGCATTTCCACCAGCTCCCAGGGGCCAGGGACGCTGCTGGCTCAGGACCACCTGTGCACAGTGGGCCAGGGACAGTGGGGAGGACAGGCCATCCTATCACACCCAGTCAGTCTTCCAGCTCCCCAGCAGATGGGCACCCTCCCTGCCCCGTGGCCAGCTGCTCATTCCACTGGGCCCAGGGATGGCCCTGCGTCCTCACCAGGCTGGACAGCTCTGCTCTGTCCCTCTTCCCATGTGAGTCAGTGACCTTGGCCTTGGGGTGGGCATTCCAAGTGTTTTCAGCTCATCACAAGGTCAAGCTGTGCGGTCAGTGTGGGCACCACCAGGGGCCGTTCAAGAATTCTCTGGTTCAGGGTGCAGCATGGCACCGACACGTCTCTGTACTCCACAAAAGACGTGACCATGGTCCCGTAACCTGCTCAGTCTCACGGCCTCCACTGTCCTCTGTGCCTGCTGTCCCAGCGCAGGGCCATGCCGACCCTCAGAAATGGAAACCTCTCGGCGCTGCCCTTGCGGGAGTTTGTGCTGGAGGGCTTTAGAGGAGGGGTGGAGATTCAAGCTCTGCTCTTTGCTGTCTTCCTGGCCCTGTATGTGGTGACCGTCCTGGGCAACGTCTCCATGATCGTGGTCATCACCCTGGATGTCCGCCTGCACTCCCCCATGTACTTCTTCCTCAAGAACCTGTCCTTCCTGGACCTCTGCTACTCCTCCGTCATCGCCCCCAATGCCCTGGCCAACTTCCTCTCCTCCAAGGCCATCAGCTTTGGGGGATGTGCTGCCCAGCTGTTCTTCTTCTCCTTTCTTGGTACCACTGAGGCTTTCCTTTTGGCTGTGATGGCCTATGACCGCTTCATGGCCATCTGCAGCCCCCTGCATTACCCTGTGACTATGTGTCCTGCTACGTGTGTCCGCCTGGTGCTCGGAGCCTACTGTGGAGGCTGCCTCAACTCCATGGTAGAGACCAGCCTCACCTTCCAGCTGCCCTTCTGCAGCTCCAACCGCATCGACCACTTCTTCTGTGACGTGCCCCCCCTGCTCCGGCTGGCCTGTGCCAACACGGCTCTCAATGAGCTTCTCCTGTTTGGCCTCTGTGGTTTCATCATTGTGAGCACTACACTAGCGGTCCTGGTCTCCTATGGCTATATCGCAGTGACCATCCTCAGGATGCGCTCAGGATCTGGGGGGCACAAGCTCTTCTCCACCTGTGGCTCCCACCTGACAGCCGTGTCCTTATTTTACGGAACACTATTTGTGATGTACGCCCAGCCAGGAGCAGTGGAGTCCATGGAGCAGGGCAAGGTGGTCTCTGTCTTCTACACCCTGGTCATCCCGATGCTCAACCCCCTCATCTACAGCCTGCGGAACAAGGACGTGAAGGACGCTCTGCAGAGGCTGGCACAGAGGCACATCGCCATGTGAAGAAAGTTCTGGTGACAGTGTCCATGGAGCTGGACTGAAGGGCTCCATGGAAATCTCTGATCCTCCAACTGCTCCCTGCTTCAAAATGCACCTGAAGATGTTGGGCACATGTTCGCCAAGGTCCTTAGAGCATTTCACGGATGACATGTTTATTGCGTGTGAGAAGCATGGATGGAGAAGGCTGGTCATGGGCACCATGCAGAACTCTGAGGAGAACTGACAGCCTGACCACAAGAAGCCTGGGTGGGCACCACCCCTGAGCGCCTAGCAGGGCCTTGCCTTCTGCTCCTCCTTTGCATCTCTGGGCCATTTCCCAGGCTCTAGTTGGTCAGAGGATAGATATTGTGCATCCTGATTAAAGTTGTCAGACAAAAATGTGTATCTCACTAGCCCAGCTTTCACCCAGACGCAGAGCCTGGCTGGCCGGTGGCCTCCCGTGATGTGAGTAAAGGGTCTGCCTGCCTGCTCCCTCAGCCCATCTTCCACACCGGTGCCAAGGAGCTACTAAAAATAAGAACTGTTTAAAGATCCACAACCAAGCCATCCCACAGAGCGAGTCTGGCATCAGGCGGAGCAGGTTTGGCTCTGAGTGGCCCAGTCTGACAAAGAGCCTGTGTGCGAAGGAGCTGCAGGGGGTCTGAGCTTCGGGGTGGCTTCTCTTGGGGCACAGCTTGCCTAGGCTCCTGGGCATCACACCATGGGCACAGACAGCATGGCCCTGGGACCCGGCAGCCCCTCCTAGCCTCAGGATGGACCTGGGAGAAAGTAAAAAGCTGCACTGTGTGTGTGACCATAACTGTATACATCACATACATGCAGTGTGTGTGCACATGGATGCAGAGCAGGACTTATCCCTCCTGGTATGTGCACATATGTCTGTACCTGCACAATATAAACACTAATTCCAAGGGAAAATACACAAGTTTCATCTACAACTCAGCAAGTTCAACATCTACAGGTCAAGAGAAGGTACGGCTCACGCCACCTGCCTGTCCTTGCCCTCCGGGTTAGCCTTATCCTGACTAACCACATTTTCAGGATCTGGGTGGCACAAGCTCCTCTCCATGGAAAGTTCTGTGAAGACAAAGTACTTTCCATGGAGAGGTATGCACAGTTCGTCTTCTGTTTGACCACTGCTGCTCGCCCATGTCCAGCTGCCTGTAACGGAGCCCTTGGCTGTCCACCATACATGATTCCATTACAGATGTTCCTCAGTTGCAATGGGATTACACCCCGTAAGCCCAAGGTAGGTTGGAAACATCACAGGCTGCACTGCATCCAATACTTGTCACCTACAGGTCACAGTTCGGCCCTGTGTTGGCTGCTTCCCGGCACAGACAAAACCCGCCCAGGTGTGGGGCTCAAGTCGGGGGATGCGCCCAATGTCGGTGGCACTGCCTCCAGGTAATCCTGTGTTCTGCAGGACGAAGTCACCTTGGTCCTGACTGCTACGCAAGCCCCTCCTTCTGACCCAAGCTGCAGGGACCTGATGGCCTTGCTGCTTCCCAGGAACACACAGGATCACAAGTCCAGGAAGCTGCATGTCAGCCAGCCTTCCATCTCGGGCCCCGTGGCCAGTGCTCATGCCCTGGGTGCAGGTTTTCCTTTTGTAACTTGTTTTTAGATGTGCAGACAGCAGGGTATACATGGGGAGTAACCCATTACAGTCCTGAGCCCATTCTTACGGCTGAACAGGATGTGGAGTTACACTGGTCATGTGTTCACGTATGAGCACAGGAAGGTTATGTCCCATTCACTGACCTAAGAAACACTTTTTAAAGCACCTTCTCTCGAGTTGTGCAGGTCACCAAGTCATTAACCAGGTGCCCCTGTGGGCGGGCTTGCTTCCAGAAACTGTATTCTGTTCTATTGAGCTATTTCAAAATACATCATGGAATCTTACAGGTAAAATGTTATAATAAAAACTCTTTAATATCTATGGTGTGAAAACTATTAGGAAATAAAGTGTAGATACTCTTGAAAGATGTAGCAGGGGACCGAGGAGAGAGCCAGCGTGTCTCTGGCTGACGGCATCCCACACGACAAAGCTCCTGATAATGCGGCACAGCCAAACCAGCCAAGGCCTTTCCAACCCTAAGGTGAGCTTAGGAGCCACCTCACACTTCTCTGGAACAGTTGTAAATGGCACAGTGGGAGGGCACGCCCTGCCCGGCTGGAGCAGTGCCACGATGCAGCACACGGGTCTGGGTGTGAATGGACTTAGTTAGAGGGCCTGGCACCTCTGGCCCCTGGCATCTGGGTGGGCTGCTTCTTGGCCCCCCCGCCCACCTTGGCCTTCCACTAGGTGCTCATCAGATCCTGGCAGAGGGCTTCTAAGGCCTCTGCCTTAGGCTTGAGGGGCTGGTGAGACCCAACCCAGAGCAGTTTGCCACTCTGGTGCTCTCAGGGACATCCTGGACCTTCTCTTGCCACATAGGCCAGTGCTCCCCTTGTCACGACCCTGCAGTCGTCCCAGAGCCCCCTTCATAGCCTACGGGGTGCACCATGTCATTTTACCCTCTGCCCTTCTCCAGCACAGTCCCAGGGTCAGTTCCAGGACAGTCCTCAATGCCCTCTTCTCATGTGCCTCAACTGTGGCCACGCTTGCCAAATCACTTCCCTTCTCACAGTGAAGGCAGCTGCGTGTGTGCATGTGCACAAGAGCATGCACGCTGGTGCATGCTGCCCTCAAGGACAGAGACCACAGCTCAGTTCTCTCTAGTCTAGTGCACAGCCCCTCATGGCTACTGAACACGGGCTGACCTGAGCTGAACCCCCAGCAGCTGCACTTTCTTCTCCTCCTCCTCTCCTCTCTTCAACCTCTCCTCTCCCCCCTCCCCGACCCTTGCAGACCTGCTCTTCATCCTCACCCTTCCCTCTAGCTCAGGCAGGTCTGTGGGCTGCTCACCTCGCACTCACTCCCAGGAGCATTTCTTACAACAATACTCTAGACTTCACACCTCTGCTCGTGCTACTCTCCACCCCTCTGCAACCTGCTCTCTGCTTCTGCCACTGCTCACTGTCCAGACCTAATGGGCACGTCCCATTCCTTGTCAAAAACCTCTGAGTGGACCCGGGTGCCATCTGTCAATTGCTCTTTGGTGGCTGTCTTCCACTGGTGTCTGTCTGGACACTCATCAAGCTTTGTGCTTTCTAAACACCTCTGGTCATTCCTGCATGACCAGACATCTTTGCTGGGCACTCTCCTGTATGCTGGCTAACTACTGGCACCCCTCAGGGGCTGGTCTTGCCCCTCACAACCTGCAGTCTGCTTTCCCTCCCTTGGTGACCTCCAAGGTCACTCTCCATGACGTCCCCCCACCCATCAAGCTCCCCTCCACAGCACACATACACTAGGTGTGCACTCCATGTCTTTCACACAATGCCCAGGCCCTGCTGCCCTCACCAGGACAGGAAACGCTAAGCCAAAGAGAGCTCTTCTGTGCCCTTTATCAATGAACACCCTGCTGCTAGGGCAATCATTATTCTGATGATCTCTAAGAACAAAAATGACTTTTGCCTGCTTAGAGAATCACAAAAATCAGTTCACGTGAGGTGTATTCTTCGTAGACTTACCTGATACAACAGATGTCCCAGGCCGTCCTCCCTGCCGCCCAGGCCGGCTGTCCTCACTGCCGCCTGCGACAGCAGTTCCCTCTCTTCCACTGATGTTCAGTATTTGATTGCTCAAATCATACATCCCTTTTGTGGCTGGTGGACAGAACATCTATTCTAACTTGGGGGACATCATGAGCACACTGTTAAGAACAATCTCCTGTGTGTCTTTGATGGTACAAGGAATTATTTCTATTGCAAATATGCCAAGTAAACTGGAAACTGTTGTGTCATTGAGACACATGGCAGCTTCAGCAGGCCATGCCAGGTAAGATGGCCTTGGAAAAGCTCTAAGAATTCACCAAAAAAAAAAAAAAAATCCCTTAGAAAAATAAATCAACCTCAATCTCAGGATACAAAGTCAGCACACAGCCAATTCCACCTCTACACTAGCAAGGAGTGACTGCAGTTTGGACTTCCCTGTCATATGCAATATGCCAAGTAAACAAAATTTGTTAGAATAAACTTAACAAAATGTTAAAGTACATTAACAAAAAAGTATAGAATATCAATGAAAAATTAAAAAGCCTAAATGAAGGGAGCTAAAGTGTTTGTGAACTGAAATATTCTACCTTGCTAAGATACTCCATTTGTTCCAATTTGGTCTCTAGATTCATTGTAATCCCCATCAAAATCCAAGAGACATTGATGACCTAATTCTGAAATTTATATGGAAAGAAAAAGCACTAAAATAATTATATTAGCTATCTATTTCTACATCAGCTCAAAAGTCTAGAATCTTATATATATACTAGATCCAGGTGTGCCTCAGGCTCCTCGGGTTTGGTTCCTTGGGTACAATTTACAAGTCTTTCTATATAGACCTGCGAGACTAGGGAAGCTGTCAGATCCCTGTGACCATCGCAACGATGGGGGTTGGTCAGACAGGCATGGACAACTTGGTTTTTTTTTTAAAGAAGAGAGAGAGAGAGAATTTTTAATATTTATTTTTTAATTTTGGTGGACACAACATCTTTATTTTTTTATTTTTATGTGGTGCCGAGGATGGAACCCAGCGCCCCGCGCATGGCCAGGTGAGCACGCGACCGCTTGAGCCACATCCCTGGGCCCGAGCCCCAGTCTTTGCTCAACAAACTGATCGCACGCAGCACAACAGCGCTTCATCCATGCTGCTCACAAGAAGAGAGCAGCCAGTCCAGGCCACCTCCGGGAGGGTGCTGAACACAACGGGAACAGCAGGGGGCAGAGGTCTCTGGGGCCACCGTGGAAGCTGCCTACCTACCACACTAGTCACAGACTGGAAGAAAATGTTTGCAGATTACATATGTGATAAAGGATTACATTATACACAAACACAATTTTAAGTAAGAAAACAACCAACCAAACACAAACGAGTAAAAAGTGGTTGATTTTTACTTCATCAA